TTCTCAGTTCTCTGCCTCTCACTGTCTCTCCGTCTCTGTATTTTTTTTCTGTGGCTGTCCTCTGTCTGACAATTTCCCCCTCCCTCCCTCTCCCTCTCTCCCCCCTTCTCAGTTCTCTGCCTCTCACTGTCTCTCTGTCTCTGTATTTTTTCACTAGTGAACTTACCCTGTAGCTGTGCACCCTCCTCTTTTCCTTGGGTCTCACACCAACATCTGTGTGCCTGCTCTTTCTCTATACTTCTCTGTATGTCTTCGAGTCTTCCTGTGCTGATGTTCTCAGTACCTAAGTTCTGTGTCTTGCCTCACCTTTCCCTCTCCTGGTCTCTAACCCTCGGGTATTTCTAGGTATGTCTTCTAGTTTATCTCTGCCTCCCAGTCTCAGCACCCCAGTCCCACTGCCAAACTCTTTCTCTGCCTCTTTTAAGGGGCACACATCACTGTCTTTCAGCAGCCTTCTCTGAGAGACCACCACCACCTTAGTTTTCCTCTAGCTGGATCTTTATTTCCTTGTATTTTTCTCTACTGACTTTATCTTTCCATGGAAACCAGTTGCTGCCTTAGCCCCAAGGGCTTCATCTGATAAAAACGCAGTTTCTCAACAACGCAATGGTGGCTGGAGCATGCAAGGTGGATACCTATTACCCTGCCCCATGTCCAAAATTCACCATATTCTCCAAAATTTACTGTATTTTCCAGCAGGTTATCAATCTGTACGGTGGAAGGGTGGGGGTGAGGGGAGCGAGCTGGGAAGAGTGAAAAATAGGGAAAGAGCCAGGGTGAGCAAGGACAGGGGCAGGGGTCTGAGACGGTGAGAGCGAGATACCCAGAGAGGTAGAGAGAGAAAGGGAAAGGGGAGACATAAAGAAAAATGAGAGACCGGTTTAGAAGGAGAATCAAGAAAGAACAAATAGAATCTTAAGAGTGGGAGAGGGAGGGGGAAAGGGGGAGAATGTAGGAAACAGGGGTATGGAGAGATGGAGAAAGAAAGAGCTAAATAGAATAAGAAAAGCGGTTGAGACGCAAGAACACAGGAAAAAAAAAACAAGAAAATTAGAGATAGGGAGAGAAAGTGCCTGGGATATGCAAGTGCAACCTGAGAGCCCCAATTCATTGACCGAGCGCACCACCTAAGTAACCTTCTAGCCTTGACAAAGGGGTGTCTTGGCGTTTGGGGTAGGGGACCGGTTGGGATGGGGACTCGCTAAGAGGGGAGCGGAACCCCGCAGCTTACCTGTTGCTGCAGGAGGCTTCACGCCGCTGCAGGAGCTGAGGACCGATCCCTCGGGGCTCGCTGCGCTCTGCTGGCCACCTTTCGGGGCACAAGCGGCTGCGAGCTCGCACCGAGTGGAAGGAACAGCGGGCACGGCGGGAGCTGGACACTGAGATTGTGCCCGCACGTCCAGCCAGAGCACAGCGCCACAAGCTCTGAGCTGTGGCGGGGGCGCGCGGCTTCTTAAGGCAGCGCGGTGCCCTCACCTTGAAGCTCTCCCCCCTCCCCTCTGTCCCCGCCCGCGCTGGTGACGCACGAGGCCCGAACCCAGAGGAGCGAAGCTGGTGGCAGCGGCAGTGGGGCGGGAAGGAGGGAGGGAGGATGACTCGCGATGGACCCACACAGATTCTGTCACCCTGCATCCAACTGCAGACACTCTGATGCTCACAGACCGGAGTTGTCACCAGGGCGAATTTTCATGCAAACCCTAGTTTCTGGCCCCTAGCTCCTAGCCCCTGGATTTTGGGCAGAGTCACTGTCACTGACTCTCACGTATTTATAAAGAGAGGGTAGGAGATTTTGGTCTTGACCTCAGAAGACCTTCCCTCAAATATGGGCTGCCGTCGGTTCTCAGAGAGAACCAAGGCTTTGATTTTTCACTAGCTCCCATCAACAGCAGTGTCATACCTGTAGGTTTCAGGACCATTCCACATTCCATCTTAGACAAGCTGGGTAATTTATCCACAGGATTTGTTTAAAGTCTGTTTGCCAGTCTTGCTGTGTGTCTGTTTCTGTCTCTCTGTCTCTTTCTATCCGTCCCTCGCTCCTCTTCTCTTCCCTCCTCGACTCTCACTTCTCCATCCCTCCTTCTTTGCCTCCCTCTTCCCTTCCTCTTCCTTCCCCTCTTACCTTTTTCCCTTTTCCTCTCTCTTCCCCCTATAACATCTTCCTCTGTTTTCAGATGCAGCATAACGGAAAGGTACCCCAGCCTTGTGAGAGTAGTACTGCTATTACTTCCACTTCCTAGATAAAGAAGTAGAAGCCAAGATTATTCTGTTTGCCCAAATTCAAGTGAATATTACACTTATTTGATGAACTAAAATGTTCTGCACTTTTGAAAACGTGTTTAGCATATATGCATAGCAGGCCAGAAGAGGCACCCTCTCCAATCCCTACTTTCTCAGGATAAGGGAGCATTTGAGAAGGTGTCTTTGATGGATCAGGGATTGTTTTCACTTGGCTGCTTCCAAGAGAGGAAGAAACACCTTGTAGGCAACAGGGGAGACAGATGCTCTGTTAGATAGAAGTGCATGGCCAGAGATAAGGCTTCATGCCAAGGTTGAGAAATACAGAAGAAAGGCTGTGTGGCGTGGTATTTTACAGACAGCCTGGGAGACTTTGAAGGCAAATCTGAGGTCTTTAGGCTTTAATTTGACAGTCCTTGGAGAACTGTTGGATGTCTGTTTTATTATGGGCAATTTAAAGTATATACAAATATGATGAGACTAAACAAACCATTATGTTCTTATCATTCAATCTGAATACTGACACATGTTAAACCATTCTTGTTCATTTCAAGGCAATGTGATGAGATTTCTGTTTTCCATGCTCTCCCAGAATCATTGCTTGGGTGGAAGCAGATGGGACATTGGATGGAGAAAGAGCAGAAGAGTTGCTGCCATAGGAAACACAAGAAGAGTTTATCAGGCCACATAGAAGGGCCTAGCAGAATCTCCAGGAAAGGGGAAATTAGCACCGGAGAGGAGCAATAGCTAGGACATATTAGGGATGCTGCAGGATGACCACAGGATTCTGAGATAGTCCATTGGTGGAATAAATCCATCTTCTCCTCTTCCTACTACTTGCCTCTGGGACAGGGAGATGAGGCTGGTGCATAATCATGTCCCAGGAGGCTCTTTGGATTTTAAGTTCTGCTTTTTCTCTTAGATCATTTGTCTTTTTCTGCTAGGACTGATTTTATCTTCCCAAGGTTGAATGGTAAAAAAAGCTCCTCATTTTTCCTGGTGACAGTTTCCATGATAATCCCCCACTATTATTAATTCTTAGCTCCACACTGGCCATGGTGCAGAGTCTTGGATGGCACACCCTGTTAAGCATCATTTGGTTCAGACTCGATTGTTTTGCAATTGCTTGGAAAGCAGTCAAGCTGCTTGCTCCAAATGGCCAGAGACAAACTCCATTCTTTCCTGCCCCTTCTTCCTTGTTAACTGGGGTTCTCCTGAGACTGCTGGAAATCAGCAGAGGACAGAGAGATAACCTGTGCATACATGTGAAAGGTTGGTGTTCCAGGACCAACTCATGGAGTCTACAGCTATAGTTATGGGCATAGTGAGAGATGATTGATTGGGAGGGGTGGTGGTGATGATGACGTAATTACCAAGAGGTCTTTGAATGCCAGCCAGGCACTATGCTTGCTTTACTGTATTTAACCATTGAAGAAATTGTACTGTTGGGGATTAGTACTGTAGTTTTAGAGTGCACAATATCTTGTACACCATTAAGGGGAATAAAGAAGAGGATGGAGAGATTGTTCACTGAGTAAGATCACTGACTGCTCTTCCAGAGAACATGGGTTCGATTACCAACACCCATGTGACAACTTATATTGTTCTGTAACTCCACTTCCAAGGGAATAATGATGCCTTCTTCTGGTCTCTATGGGTACTGCATGAACACACACAGTGCACAGATAATACATGCAAGCAAAGCATTATACACAAAATAAGTCTCAAAAAGAAAGAAAAAACCTGCAAATTGTCCATTATTTAAAAGGTGCTAAAATATGAGATGAATATTTATACTGGTAATGTACTACATCACTGCTCTTATGGAGAGGTTAGGTCTGTACTATCCAAAGTAATACAGTGAGTGTTGAAGCTAATTGTTAAAACCAATTCTAGTTGAAATCATTATTTCCTAGGATGCTTTAAAGAAGGATAAATACAGCAGGGTTTATCAAAACTAAAGCAAGACAAAATGTCTGAGTTCAGGTAAAAAGGGACTAAGAATCACTGGACTTATGGGAGTACACATGCTGCTACCAGAAAAAAAGTTGACTTTTTTTTTTAAAGGAACCAATCTAAATTCTAAATCACGTGCCTTCCTACATAGGAAGTTCACAATAAATCAATGGGGGCAATATATAGCTTTGTCCTGGAGTGACTGCCATGCAA